GTGTGGCTCATAAACCAACAAATTCCCTACAAACACTATTATGCAGACCAAAGGATGCAACAAACAAAGAAGACAAACCGAATATCATTTATAAAATCAACTCCAATAACTGTAGTCAACACTACATTGGACAGAGTGGTCACCCACCTTCAGCTTCGTCTACGTGAACACCAGTTGACTATTAAACTTCACACATGACATTTCATCACTCATTTCAATGCATGTGGATAACAACTATGGACATGAATTCAATTTCAACAATGTAGAAATCTTGAATGGAGAGAGGAAACACAAAGAATGTTAGAGAATTCCTAGAAGCTTGGTGGCATTCAGGTCAGTCAGCAATCAACAGATGTATAGACATAGACCCAATCGATCAACCAACAAGAAAGACGATGAACGACAGAAAGGTCAGAGGTGAAGCAGAGGGATAGCCAACAGGAAAGTCTATGCAGTCAGTCAATGACACAACAATCAAAGGGAACAACCAATCACAAACCAGTCGGTCAGGGCAAGCTACTAAATCACTGACGGAGAGATATTGACAACTCACTCACTTCATACTGAAGTTAGGGCTGATGGTTATGTTGTTGAGAAAGACGATGAAAGCTTCACGATTAAACAATCTAGCCAGCTCAGAGAACAAAATACAACCAAAACCATCCACCTGAGCTACAAATATTCTCCACTATTTCAGTGTGAATTCTATTCGAAAGATTTTGTCGAATGTGATAGATGACTTTCAACACTGGTTTTGTCTATTACATGACCACCATCGATCAAATATGATAGGATCGAACTTCGTATAAACTTCACTTGTCTCTTTCCTAACCATAATTGTAGGTGTTTAGCAACACGTTTGTTAAGTTGCCCAGTTGTACTCCCAATATCCCAGCATTCTGCACAGAAGGAGGTGAATTGATAAATGCACACAGCAGTGGCTAACTTCTGTTTATCATTTTCTAGTCGACCGATAAGTGTTACTCAAAGCAAAGACAAGCTGCCCAGTTCTGTCTTTGGTCTGAGCAGCCTTTACCTCTGTCTTGACCAGAGAAAATATATTAAATCACTTCAAAGATGAATTCAATTTTCATTCGCTTCCCATTTCTTTACCCCGTTCCCCCACATGTTTATTTACTAGGTGATGGATGATTGAAGATGAAATGAGAATTTGGACCACGGCCTGATTCAAACTAGCGACCACGGGGTTTCCGGTCCGATGCTCTAGCAACTCAGCTACGAGGTCCAACTGCTGACCAGATTCTTTACATTTCGCTTCAATCGCAAAAGGATTTTACCCGACTACCATATGACTTCATGATGCGTTACTACCGCTTCACCGTATTCTCACTGGTTGCCTAGTCAATACCTCATCCAAATATAAGTGAATCAAAGAAGGGAGCATCATAATGATTATCATTCGACTATCTGAGATAGTAAAGGGAGAAACTTAAATGAAGTAGTCTCTTCCACCCACCCTCCTAGGCAACACTGTTTCAACTACAGGCGACACAGGCACAGACAACGACGTCAAAGCCAGACACGATCGGAAACACAGCAACACAGGCCTTCATTAACTTGAAACCAGTGTGGAGATCTACTGCACTCCACTCAGCATAAGGCCTGAACAACATCCAGATATAGATATTCAACACTAACGTCAGTCAAGTGAGTCAATGCTTCTATGTGATGGTTGAGAGACTTGGTGTGTTACAAAAGGCATTTCCAACAAACTACAGACACTTATCATCAACAACTGCCTACACTAGTTCGATACTGGAGATCAGATGGCAAGAAAGAACAATAAGAATGAGCAAGAAGGAAGTCACTCTGACTGGCTGGCTGGCTGGCAACGAACCAATGAAGTAAGAAGCTATTGTTCAACAAATATGTAGTGGAAGTAAGTGTAGATGGATTGGGGTACACTGAGGTGGCCGACTGGGGACATCAAGCGCCTGGCCAGGGCGTCGAGTGTAACCCGAATGGGAAACGGTGAGTTGAGCATCTGTGGCGAGGGTGATATGGAGGAAGGAATGAGAGGTTGTGGTCTGTCGTGGAGCGAGGTTCAAAAGATTTTAGAGAAGTGAGTGGAATGGTTACGTGCTACTGAATTCGTATGATACATTAGGAACCCAAAAGATAAATAATAATTTATGTATATTAGCAAAAAGCCTGAACAGGAATCTAGTTCAAAATATTTGAAGTTGTTATTCATCGTAGACTGACACCACTTGGAGGAACAAAAGAAACCTGGGAGCAATGGACAGCTGTTTCCTTCAACTAGTATGGGATTCCTCAGCACAGCGCACCCACTACCCCAACCCGACAGGGATAGAACCTGAAACCTTCATGTTCCGTGACCAACACGTTACCAAATTTCCAAATCACCACAACTTCATCAAAATTCAGTTGAACTCATGCTGATTGGTGACTAGCTTCGAGAGGTATTGCTGAAGTTGCAATGAGAAGTGGTGACCGGTAGGGCAAAGCCTGATGGTCGTGAGGACAGTTATTCAAGAATGACATTGGGTGGGCTGTGGTTGAGCTATATTGTGGGCTAACAGGAGTTGGAGATATGGACGATTGGATTGTGACCGAGTGACTGGATGGTAACGTGCTGACCACGGAACCCGAAGGTTGCAGGTTCTATGTATATGGGTGTGGGGTGTTGGGTGCGCTCTGCTGAGGAGTCGCATGCTAGTACGAAACAGCTGTCCAGTGCTCCCATCTTCCCTATGTTCCTCCAAGTGATGTCAGTCTACAATGAATAACAATTTGAAATATTTCGAAATGCCCACAACTTCCTCAAAGTTCAAAAGAACTAGACTTGACAACCAATCACGTTCAAGTATGCATTGACCATTAGGAATCAAGAATATGTGGGAAAACATAACTATTAAAAAAGTGGTGCGTTATTTGCAATCCATGAATCTATTTCACATCAGAAATAAGGATATCTCCATTTTCATTTGGTTTAGTATCTTTGAAACGATACCATTACCACTTATCTATATGAGGCAATATCGTTTCCCCTCATGAGACCACTAAAGTTCTGAAGACTTATCGAAAACAAGTTCATATATTTTCAACGTTGTTTGATCAACGAAGTGCTTGATGGGGGCAACCCATTTCAGATACAGCCATATGCAACTTCCAAGTATCTGCGTTTTTCGTATGGTACCCAATACTATGCACTTCTTTGCATGCATATCTGCTAGGAGAGACTTTCCTGATCTATCCTTTGTCTATTGAAAATATCTTTTCTTACTAATTCAGTCGTATAAAACAAGCATTTGTGTTTTTACAGTCCTGTTTAAGCCGTCCCCCTAGCTTATACTTACGTCTCCGAAAGAGAAATTTATCTGTTCAACCAATATTTCACTTGAAACCTGTAACGTCATCTTCCTCATAATTCATTGAAAGTTTATGCAGCGTATAGACCATGACCTTAGGTTAAACATGTTTAATGTCATTGGTTATCCTCAAGGTTTTCCATTACCAGAATTTAAATTTATCAAAACTTTCTGATAAAGTTCGAAAGCAAACTCGATTAAAGAGCGGTAGGAAGAAATTTGTCCAGCTATCATACTCTTAAATGTTACATTTTGATGATGACCTGAGTTTACTGTCTTACGGGTGATTGTACCAGAATAGATGAAGATTAACATCACAAGTTTATACTTACCATGGATTGACACCATTTAGAGGAACATTGGAAACCTGGGAGCACTAGACAGCTGCCTTGCCCTAGTGTGGCCAACACGTTACCAGTGAACCATTGGGTCGGAGTAGTCCAGTCGTCCACATTTCCTACTTCTGTCAGTTCACGACATAGCACCACCTGAATCCATTATCATTGTTGAGTAACTGTCCTTATGTTCCACTTGGTTGACACCAGTGATCACGACTTTTCATTGAAGCTTCAGGAATCATCTGTCGAAGCTAGTCACCAATGAGTGGTTGATTAATTTGATTTAGGGATTCTTGGCTTACTGGTGACGTGGCCCGGTGGTAATGTGATGGCCACTGGACCTGAAGATCTTAAGTTCGGTCACTAGCGGGATCATGATTGAGTAATCCTGAGGAATCCCATACTAGGACGAAACAACTGTTGAGTGCCCCCAGGTTTCCAAGGTTCCTCTAAGTGGTGTCAGTTTATGACGAACACCAACCTGAAAAGTCACTAGATCCCCACAAACCGGCAAATCCAATGGATATTAAGTTATCTCGACAGATCATTAATCTCAAGGATTCTTTCTTCTTTGTAGAGAATAACGCCTTAGAAAAAATAGCTCATTCTTGTCTTGAAGACTTTCGCACTTTCACTAAGATTCTTTACAGAATGAATGGGATGCTTCAGAATTTGGAACTCTAAAAAACTGATGTTTGAAATATGTTTCATGATGATATGCTTCGGAATCTGAAATGATGAGTTCCCAATTGAACCAAAGTTTTTGAATGTCAAATTCTACGGTGCATATGAAGCTTGTGCATTATCAGAGGTCAACACACATCGAATACCAAAGGAATTCTATTCTGAATCCATATCTGGAGGCATCTTGACCTTCTGTCTTATTTGTCTCGTTATTCCATATCAGGTATGATACTTGACCACCTAGTAAGTTCAAATTACACATCTGGTCGCTTAAATTTTATGAATCAATGATTCCTGGTCAGTAATTCATTCTAGAAGAAATAAGTCGCTGAAGTTTGAAGGTGGAAGTGCTAGGATATCAAATATCTCACCTAAAAAGTGGATTTCACCAATAAACACCCGTCAATTAATTTCAGGTTCCATTCGATTCTTACTTAATTGGTATCTTGTGAGTAGTAATTTGTATACTAGAAAATACGCATTTGGATTGTTATCCTAAACATTTTGCAGATACATTTCAACTACTTGTTAGTAGTATAAATTTATCTTTAAAAAATATGCTGGTCATTACCTTAGCACCGTCTATTAACATTCTAAATCCAGACACACAACGACATTGTTTCTTAGCAAAAGGATGCATTTATTTGAAAACTGACATGCAACAGAAAGCAAGGAGATAACAACTGAATGCAAAATTAAGTTAATGTTTTTCGAATATGCATATAAATAAATAAGTATACCTCTTGAAAAGCAAATAATCTCTAAATAATGAAGATCAGAGAAAGAAACAAACAATAACATATTCATCACTATCCTTATCATCACCTTAGAAACATTATAAAGGCCATTTGAAGATGAATCGAAAGCCAAAATTATGATATTCAACACACAGAAGGAAAACAACTTCGCTATTTGCGAAGTTGAAACGAAAATAAGAATCTTTTCAGCCTGATACATTAGTATTATTGATAGGTTAAGACAAAAAAAAGAATTTAGTTCTTAGACGAAAGAAAAGATACACTTTCTGTGATGTGTGGATGATCATGGCAGTCGTTGAAAGTAGAATAAGTTTATTGATTGACCCATATATATATATATATATATATATATATATATATATATATATATATATATATATATATAATGGATGAATTGAGTGTTAGGTGATGAGAAAACAAGGCATATATTTGTATATAGATATTAGGGTTTATAGAAGAAATAAGATATACGAAAGTAGAGGTACACGCAATATTTTGAAAAGAGCAAACATAATTCTATTGGCTTGTTTGATTGTATAAACATATTCTTGCTAAACAGATTGCAATCCAATCAGGTGGTGCAACAGCCTTCAGTAAAGAGGTTACCATCTCTGGAAATATAAATTCATGCTTTGTTATTTCATATAGATGTTTTAATATATCATTGATCACTTCATTGATTGAGTCACCGTGTAAATGAAGTTGATTGAACAATGATTTCAATGTGTTCTCTTTGTTCAAGGCTTGTTTAGCATCATGCTTCTCAGCATCATCTTTATTCGATAGATCATTACTCTTATCCATATGATTATTTGTTGGTTGAATCTTATCGAATTTCTTGAACACTGTTAGACAATTCGATGGAGATAGTATCAGTAGAATATTCTCTGGAGTTAGATCTACTTCTGAATGAGTCTTGTTCACCTCACTTCTATCTAAGCTAGTAGGTAGGCATTCACTCAGACTTAACAGAACGCTAAGTTTTATGCAGGTCTCAAATATATCAACACCTGCTTCTTTATTGTCAAATAAGCTTAGAATACTCTTCAGTGTTGTCGTTAAAACAATTGAATGAAGTGCTTTGTCTTCAATGGATTTATTTTTATTTGCTGTAAGATTATCAAATGATGTATGACCATTTGGAAGTGGTGATTTTGTCGTTTGACTATTTAACCAATTTGTTAGTAATTTGTCCACTGTTTTCGTTGTGTATTTTAGCTTATTCGATTGCTTATCACATTGGTTCTATATGGAAATTGTCAAAGTGAAAAATGAATCTCACGAATTATTTTAATTATTTTACATTTACTACTTATAAATTGAAAGTAGTTCAATATCAAAAATCAAATTTCCTTCGAGAGGGATATAAACCAGAGGTAATACTGATGGACCCCATTGACTTAGACATTACTCACAATAGTGTTTTGTGTTCATAGCTCAGGAATCAACTTTCAAAATTGACTATCATTTTATTAAGTAGTATGCTGATGGGAAATTACTGGGCGTGGATACTACGTGGGAATGATTTTCAGCCTTACCTGTCGTGATGTTCCACCTAAGCTTCACTGACTGGCATGTTTTTTTCTTGAATTGCTGCCATGCCAAAAGGGTCTCTTAGGGAACAGGTAGTTGATGATGGTGGTGGTGGTCAGAACTCGTCTGGAATCTGAACAGGCCTTCATAAACCAATAAATAGGATAAATTTTATCTTGTCTTTTTCTAGTTTAGCCTCTTATGAATACTTATAGCCGGCAGATGTTTCCCAGACGTTGAAAGCTTGGAAACTAATAACCCTAATCGATGAATATATTAGGTTCAGAGGAATATACACACTGGATAAGAGTTTGAAGTCAGGAAACTGTTTTGACTATTGTAGACAGTTCTGTGTATCCTGATGATTAATATAATTTGTGCACCTGAAAGCTGAAATCAGACTAGGACAGCATGGCAAATCCAATATGACTGAATGATAACTTATTCTGCCGAGAAATGAAAAGGTAAGGAGAATTTCTTTACTCATGAGTAGTATAGCCAGGCAGTATATGGTAGTGTTATACAACGTGTTGTACAAGTAATGTCGAGAATATCTTGGATCCTTGGACTGAGGTCTATTCATTGGATCGATTTTTCCAGAAAATGAATGTTATCTATAAGCATGATTGAACCCACTAAAGGTTTACCTACCTCAGTTTGTAGGTATGTAGTTCGTATTCACCACGCAGACACACTGGAGACCTAGGAATACTGGATAAACATCTCGTATTAGTATGGAACTCCTCAGCAGCACAAGCCCACTGCCTCTTCAGGGATCCAAGCAAGGACCTTCGGGTCCAGCGACTACTACGCTGACATTTAGCCAGCTGGCGAGAATACGATGGTCGATATTCCGTCTTTGAGTAACTTTCCTCGCGGTCAACTTGGTTGGCCCCATTTTGTCATAGAAACGAAAATTGAGTATCATCTTCAATTTCATTGGCTCTTACTGAATAGGCTACAATTAATTATCTGCCAGGAAAACTGACTTTATCAAACAGAATTGAAGAAAGATCTACCTTCCCGAAGTAGGTGGCTTACAGAATGACTTGTTAACTTCATCAAGACATACTGCGCTGAATTCTGAGACCCGAGAAAAATCATGAATTTATTTCACCACAGTAAAACTAATCAAGGACACAGAAAGCTTCCCTTAACATCGAATCTGTCTGAGACAGGCAGGGTAACCAAGTGAAATAAGCTTATATACAGACTGCTTTATAAGAATATCTATGAAGAAAATGCCTCAACATTTTACTGAAAGTATTATGACCAACACTGTGATATAATTTATCAATAGCGACTTGAAGATATTTCAAGATGGCGCACATCGTTAAGCTCTACCTAGAATCCTTTGAAATGAAGTCGCAAAAGGAGTAAGACAAGGTTGCCACCTACTATCATCGTCGAAGATATTCCTGATTGTGGTAAACTGGGCCGGATCATGCAACAAACTGTGAGGAGTGGGAAGAGGGGAACACGCTGGCTGGACAGATGAAAAGACCCCAGAAGAAGGTTTGGATTTCGCTTATGATGATTTCTGTCTAATGTCTTGTTGCACAAACTCGAAGGTCAACAGGCGAAAACTAACAAGTTGGCAGAAGAGACGAGGTGATGCAGCGAAGGAAGACAGGACTTCCTTTAGTTGAACGTAGAGAAGACGGAGGTGATGACGATACCCAACCAACAAGAACGACAAGTACCAATCATCATCAACGGGAGAATGTAAAGAAACTAGTCTCTTTCACCTACCTTCCTAGGCAGCATCTTTTCAGCTATAGGTGGCGGTGGTATAGATGACAACGTGAAAGCCATGGTTGGAAAGACATAGAAACAGGTCTTCATTAATCTGAAATAAACAGTGTGGAGATCTAGTGCATGGTACTCCATTGCACTGCACTTAGAATAAAGCGTGAACAACATCCGAATTCTCAACACCAATGCCAGTCAAGTCAGTGCTTCTGTGTGATGGTTGAGAGAGTTGGCGCGTCACAAAAAAGCATTTCCAACAAACTACAGACATGCATGAACAGCTGCCGCCTACGCCCACTCTATACTGAAGATGGAAATGAGATGACCAGAATAACAATAATAAACAACAAGGAACTGTGGCTGGCATCGAACCAACCAACCGAGAACGTATCGCCCAACAAATATGCAGTAGAAGAAAGTGGAGATGGACCGGGCATACACTGAGAAGACTGTTTGGGAACATCACGCACCAGGTCAGACTGTCGAGTGGGAACCAAATGGGAAACGACTAGTTTGGCTTGTGGGGGTGAGGAAGAAATGCGTTTTTGTGGGCAGTGGTGGCGCCAGCTTCAAAAGACTTCAGGGAAGAGAGTGAAATAGCGACGTGCTACTGAAGCCCTATATTCTACTAGGAACCCAAAGGGTAAATAATGATAAGTAACATCCTATTGCTCAGTTTAAAAGTGATCATTAGTTACTCAAGCTCAGCTAGGTTACTGACTACTTCAGCTGTTCACTTGGACTGATTTTGTTTAGCAAAATTTATAGTATAATACAACTTACCAGGACCACATATTCATGATTGGTATTGGGTGCACAGACAATTGACAACTCCTCCCAACCTTCAATGAAACCATATTTATCCCATGATTTTTCATTGAAACTCTTCAATGGAAATACAAAAGAAGCATATTCACCTTGTAAGTCGAGTGAACGTAGTTTCATGCATGTGAATAAGTATTCAGATAGACAATTGATCACCAACTTATCATTTTTTCTTTCTTCATCTTTTAACTCTTTGTTATCCAATTCTTTATGCTTTTCAAACCATTCTTGAAGGAATGGATGCATAGCTTTCACTGTATCCTTCAATACACCAATCGACTTTGGTGATTCTGATTGCATCACTTCAGATGACATTACAATATTGTTGTTGATATTATTGTCGTTGATTGCATTATTGGCAGTAGTAAAATGAAATTTAGAAAATCTTTTATTTTCTGCTGCCTTAGTGAAATATGGAAGAGCCAAAGAGTTGGGTTTCTCTGAACTGACCTAAAAAGAAAGTATAGGAGTGAGTCATTTATGTACATTGAAGATAATAGTTAATACAACTATTTGACCAGTGAGTCATTCTGTACTTTCACATGATATAATTCAATTTACGCCTTATATGGCGAATATCCTCTGTAGACTCGATGAGTCATCGATATTGAACAAAAGAGAAGATATGTGTTGATGATTAGTTTCAATCTGACGCATGTTTTATGACTCATACATTTAAATGATAAGACTACGACTGTCAACGAATTAAATACACTTACCTAAGCCATTACGTTATACAAAGCAGTGGTCTAAGAACCATTCAAACAACGACTGGAACCCATTATGGACTGATATCATTTGGAGGAACATTGGAAAACTGGGAGCAATGGACAGCCCTTTCGTCCTAGTATGGCACTCCCCAACAGTACGCCACCCCACTACGTCTCGAACCAAGGACCTATAGGTCCCGTGGCCAGCACATTGTCATTGGGCCACTGGATCGGAAACCGATGGTCCATATTTCCAACTTCTGTCAGTTCATAATATAGCGCCACCTACATCCAACGTCATCGTTGAGTAACTGTCGTCATGCTCGATTTCGTTGACTCCACTGGTCACGACTTCTCATTGGAACTTCGGGAACCACCTCTCGAAGTTAGTCATCAATGAGCGCTAGATTAACTCTATCTGAAGGTTAGTGGCTCAATGGCAACGTGCTGACCACGGAACCTGGAGGTCCTGGGTTCGATTCCTGGCGGGGTGGGGTTATGAGTGTACACGACTGAGTGCTACGTTAGGACAAAAGAGCTGTCCGGTGCTCCCAGGTTTCCAATGTTCCTCTAACTAACTGATGTCAGTCCATGATGAATTCCAACCTAAAAATCAATTGATAAACCTCCACAAACCTCCAGACAGAACCAGATGATTTTACGCAAAACTAGCCTTGAAGGAGAAATAAGGAAACCTTATTTCATTGGTTGTTAGAGTCGTCTTTAGAATTATTTAGTGCAAAGCAAGTGGTAGATTTGGATATTCAGTGATTATCATGATTGATCAATGAAAAGAGTGACTCTAAAGGCCACTCTAGCAAGTGCTGAAATAACCAATCAGATCTCAGTATTTCATGTGAGGCGGCATCATTTTATAAGGTAAAGAAATCTAATTAGACATCTCAGAAGTTGCTAGAGTGACCATTAGTAGAGTTACTCAACTGATTTAGCAAGGTTTCAGAAACATATTAGAAGTAATCCACTAGAATATTGGTCTATAAGTAAACGATTGTAGGACTAGGAGTGTACAGCCTATCCGAAGCAAACTTTGTTAGTTAAATAACTTACAACCTATTAGTGACTGGAATCCGACACTTATCGCTGTATGCAATCTAGTTTTACTCACTAGATTACTCAGATGCTGTCAATTTCCTTTCTTAGGTCACTTTTGAACAGTAGCTTTTTTCTGACAGAACGTTCATATCTCCCTAAATGAATCATGATGTGTTGCTTTCATTGTTAGTGTTGGTTGAAGCTACTGATGTCATGCATCCTAGGAACATTTGTCCGACAACGTGATTAACGAAAAACTATGGTTCAACAGACTATCTAATTTGGGTCTGTTACTTGACAATATGAAGAAATGATCCCTACAATTTTAAGAATGAAGGCGATGACCTTATTCATTGAAGCAATCTCGATATACCTACATTCCACAGAGTTTAGTCATGGATTGTCTAAGTAATTCCCTCCCCTCACCTCCTTAATAGGGATCCAAACAATTGACTCAGACACCACATGATGTGGCGTAGAACTCAGAGCCCTACTGTTTCCTCCTGAGATGAAAAAGGTTTATAAACACACCTGAAAATGACTTCATTGTCTAACATTTTGAAGATCGTACAAACGGACACATCAAAGAAAGACGATTTTGTTAGAATTGACACAGATCTATAGGGAAATGCGTTGGGTCTCGAACTAATATGCTTCGAGTCTTCTGATGATCACATCAGCTGTATCAGTGTGAAGCAGAGTCTAAAGCACTTGGACGTGCACATTTATGACTAAACCAGGGAAGTAACCCAGGACCTTCATGCTCAGAAGTAGAGAAATGTGGATCTTTGGATTCTGGCCCTGTAGCCTGTTGGTAACGTGCTCTTCAAGGAACCCAAAGGTTTTGGGTTAGATCCCTGGAGGGGTCATAGGTCTGCACTACTGAGGTTTTCAATAATTCCTAAAATGATATCAATTCGCGCAACTTCAAATACTCTAATAACTACTGGCTGCTTGTCGGTTGTTCTCGTTGAATTCACAACCTATTTGGAAAATATTCTGGATGTATTGTCTAATAATGATCTAAGTGTGTCTGAAACTTGTAAATGAAAGTCATGGTTCAACTCAGATCACGACATTGTGTACGTGTTTTATGTAATGTATGCCGGCGAACTACTGTTATAGTGTCGAATCAGATTACCAAAATGTTCATAGAAAGCCGTAAACCTATGAAGCCTGTTACAACCAATCGCGTTGCAGCAAAGTTTTCAGAGAAATCACGTGAAATCATCATGTAAATATCTGATTGGTTGAAAAGATAGAAAAAATCAATGACACATTCAAATCTAGAAAGGCCTGAAAGTAGTCAAGGCTGTTGTAAATATACATATGTATACACCCTTGTATTTTGTACATATATTTGTTGACGTTGCAATACACCTTGTGTTGTTTTACCGCCCTTTTCACTTATCAAGAAAATGAGTGACCATCAAGGGGTGGAATCTGAAGGGAATTGTCTTGGTTGTATTGTGTTCTCTGAACTGGGTAGTTTAATCGTAAGCGTGACACGCTTCACGTTGTTCCAAGATGGGAAGACTTCTCCAAAGGCAAGCTTCCACAAAAGAACAACTATTCATTCTCCATGAGTGCCTACATCAACATGTTCTGCTGAAGAGTGTCAGATATAGACCACCAATTAACTGTCCAATGGGATGGAAAATAACTGAAAAAAAGTCACGATTAAACAACCCAGCTCAGAGAACACAATAAAACCAAGACCATCCATCTGAGCTACAAATATACTCCACTATTTCGAAGCGAATTGTTCAAACGTCCATATACAGATTTTACAAGAAAAATTACCTTCCAAACCGAAATACAGTGAGACCAGACTGGTCATTTCATCAGTTACTAGGGTGATCTTTAAAGTCTTTTGAAAGTACAAGTTATATAAGCTGAATGATAAATCTGGTTCTCGATGACTAAACTAGTGAGTCAAGGCAAAAATTAATGTTGTAAACTTACGTGATAACCAGAAATCTTGGTCATACAGCAACTCTCTTAGGGTGCAGAGACTTTTTAAACATCTTAAAGGTAGGAAACATCCTGGTAAAGAAGTATATGATAACATTTTCAGTATAAACCAACTATTCATATGTCAACTCGTCAGTGTTATCTCATCTTGTTTTTCCAACCTGAAAGAAGGTTGTTTTTCTAAATTCTACAAGAAAGACATTTTTAGAAAACTTATGTCACTGAACTCCTTATATATCTTGGTCTATGTGAGCGCTGTGAGTTTCTGATTCAACAAACCCATCGATTTATTATGCCTTTTCTAATAATGTTGTACTGACCGGTTGTACAGATCACGAAATAATTTCAGTGGAGAGTTTCAAATCTCCACTGATCTGCACTTAATAGCTATGAACAAAACTGTAACTATATGTATTTGAGCCATCAATGAAGGTCTCTTGGTCGGAACTGGTTTCCGTATAAACACAGAAGGACCACTATGGATACTGTCAATTTTTTTTACATCACAATATTGTGTATAATCTCGATAGTGACACTAATACACAGGCTTTATTTTTGTTTCAAGATCCCTGATGTTGAATAAAATAACCGCTAAACACGTTAAGTTCTGAATTACACACAAACTGGCTATATTCCTGTTTATTTGGAGGGAAACAGCACATTGCAGATGTGTCATACTACCAGTTGTAACTCTGCAAACTACTTCAGTACATTGACTAGTCGCGGAAGAGCAACCACTTTCATGTTGTCTAGCCCTGAGCACTCACTGAATTCTATTGATTATTTTTGCAGTTAAGCCACCAAGCTCAGCGGTTAGGCTGATGCTGGTTGGAATCCCAGGAGGGACATTAGTTCCATCGAGGTAACAGATAGGCGTAGCTGACGAGTGCCAACAAGCGCGAAACCTAAATCCAAGTCTTCCTGCCGATTGCTTCAATTCAACTAACAGACTACTTCAGTCTCACAACTCTTGTTCTATTGATGACTATCTGCTGAGGAATCCATTATGTAGGATTTATCCTGGGATCAGGTGTATATGTATAAGACGTTATACACCCAGGAATAATGATCAAAACATTACCATACTTCATTTAGCTCGTATCCTGTGTGAGAACGAAAGTACTGGAAACAAAATGACCAATCACCTTCGTCGCAGCACACAAATCACAGATTGTTATTATTATTATCATTATTCATATAACTACTAACAATAATTATTTCTCCTTACATGGGGTTAATTGATTTCTTTAAGTAAAACACCTTCTCTCTCTCCAGCTGACGGAATATTACATGCTAAGAACTAGGTATAGTAGACTAGAGTGTTACACAAAGTATTATTACTACCATTACTATTATTGTTATCATTATTATGATTATTATTATCACTATTACCACTCCGTAAAATGAGAAATAAAAACAAGACTTAGAATCTTTTCTCGTTTTAAATTCGCGTTACTAACGTAAAGAAAAAGTTAAAACTAATGAGCAACAAAAAAACTTAATTCCTTTCATAAAAGAATGAGAAAACAATAGAATTTTGCCGGCCTTGTGTGACTATCAAGTGACCTTGAAGTAACCAATCAGGTTGAAGGCGACTACGTGGTGGTACTGGTAAGCGTTGAATTATTGTAAGGATATTACTGAATACAAGACAAGTTTAGGCACAATTTCGAGTGAATAGAAGAGCATTAATCTTCATCTGGCACTAGGTTTTAACAACAACAACAGGCTAAAATCACCGTCAACAGGAGAAACTTAAAGGAAGTAGCCTCTTCCACCCACCCTCCTAGGTAGCACTGTTTCAACTACAGGCGACACAGGCACAGATGACGACGTCAAAGCCAGACACGATCGGAAACACAGCAACACACGCCTTCATTAACTTGAAACCAGTGTGGAGATCTACTGCACTCCACTCAGCATAAGGCCTGAACAACATCCAGATATAGATATTCAACACTAACGTCAGTCAAGTGAGTCAATGCTTCTATGTGATGGTTGAGAGACCTGGCGTGTTACAAAAGGCATTCCCAACAAACTACAGACACGTATCACCAACAACTGCCTACACTGGTTCGATACTGGAGATCAGATGGCAAGAAAGAACAATAAGAATGAGCAAGAAGGAAGTCACTCTGACTGGCTGGCTGGCTGGCCGGCAACGAACCAATGAAGCAAGAAGCTATTGTTCAACAAATATGTAGTGGAAGTAAGTGTAGATGGATTGGGGATACACTGAGGTGGCCGACTGGGGACATCAAGCGCCTGGCCAGGGCGTCGAGTGTAACCCGAATGGGAAACGGTGAGTTGAACATCCGTGGCGAGGTTGACATGGAGGAGATCGTGCGAGGAGGAAATGAGAGGTTGTGGTCTGTCGTGGAGCCAGGTTCGAAAGATTTCACAGAACAGAGTTCACTGGAGACGTGCTACTGAAGCCCTACGTTCCATTAGGAACCCAAGGGACAAATAATAATGATAATGATATTACGTACACTAGATCGAATTATTCGAAGTGTGTTGGCAGGTGGGCTTCTATGCGAACGCTTCGATTACTGTTCGATTCTTTATTATGTTGTTGTCTGCTAGCCACCAAATAAGATGGCCACCTAACATCCATACGCACGCATGCACACTCACACCGTGTCACAGTGAATTTGGTTGGAAACACAATCTTTCAGGAAAAAGACAATTTATCACATAGAAATCATTATAGAATGCCATTAAAAATTTGAGAAAAGTCCTGTAGCAGTAGGATATATCTGTATATTTAAATAAAGAAATTATAGTAAGCATGAGTTATGCAATTAGCTCAAAAGTATCCCTTTATACATAGGAGGATTGTGAGGGCGGCAAAAAGCAATAGTAGTGCAGTAAGCTAGTTGACGTGACATTTGGGGGAGTTATATCACAAAGAACCATTTTATCTTATCATGACTCAGTGTGCAGTATATAAATGAGATCAAACACAGTTTCTTAGCCAGTATCCTTCACTTTCTGTATACACAGCGATGAGATGAGAGTCAAAGTAACTCTCACAGATGTATTCACCAGAATCAAACAATCTGGTTGATATTAAGACATTGTAAGCATGAGTTTGTAAGAAATTTAAGCCTGAATCAAAATTGTATGAGTCAGCCAATCAGCTACGGGTCACAAGTAATCGATTAATCCTATTGGTTCACAATACAATCAGACTGTCAATTCAGTCTCAGGAAATATATAAACTACTCAGAATAGTTTGAGAAACAATTTTTTCTGTCGAAAACTTAGTCCTATGAATAAGCTTATCACTGAGTTCGTTATCAAATCATCCATACAGAAACTTCCATTGTTTTTATTAACGTATATCACTAAAGAAGTTGGTTCCATCAATACCACAGAGAAAGTGATGAAGTCAGACAGTTACAACACGCTATCTTTTCTTATGTTGCAAGTACAGTTGTGTAGTAGAGTTTGGTGGTAAACTTTCTGAAGGTGTAAACCAAAGTTACTTTTGACTTTTGGCAGCCGTAAACACAATGTGTTTGTTTTCATTCCAAGTTGGAATTGGATTTCAACAATTATTTCAAATATTGATCCTTGGGAGTCTTTTCAGGTGGAAAATTGTTTGACAGTCCTGTTAAGAGTTTCTAGACATGCCGATATGCATCACCTTTTGACTTTCACCATCCTCTTCAACCCAAATGCCACTACTTTTTCGATTAGTTTCGCTATATTACAGGATACGAGATGTAGTAGCACTCTGTTGCTTTTGTAAGGCTACATTGTAATTGGTTAGGTTTAGCATGAATAAGCATAAAATTTATCGATCTGTGTGTAATGAAATTCTCACTGTAGTGAGAAAAAGCCATTTGAGCGAAAATGACCCAGAAATGGTTAGGGGGGATTTAGCGGGACGCCTGAGGCACCAGTGCTTTGAGTGGCATGGGTAAAATCACTCACCATACATCTCCCCTCCTTTTTACCTTGTTCTGACATCAAACTTTGTGTTTCCTAAAACAAGTCAGATCAATAGCAAAATTTGAACCAATCACTCTTTATGAACAATAAAACTTTCATTTATCGGATAATCCAAAACGTAGTTTTCTTCATAAAAATTGCTCGGCGCCAGTAACTTTTGTTTCACCTGGATATTAACATTGCAATGGTACCGTTCCCAGTTGGTTTTACAAAAAGCGTCAAATGACTATTTCAATAGAGTCGAGAAAGTATCCTAAGCTTGAGTGATCCGCTAGGTGACCTTGAACATACCAACCAATAAGAAAATAATAGCTTTGGATTTTTAGGTATACACTTAGCAAGAATGGAAAAAAGTCTAGTTTCATGTGATAATTTTGCGCCAATTATGTAGTCTGTTAGGTTTTCCAAACACTTTTTATTATCCGAAGTGGAAAGAATCAGGAATAGAGAACTTGTTAATTTGTATGGTTATTCAATGAATTGCCCAGCCTCTAGCCAACCTATAAGTTTAACTCTGACTTCCTAGACCCTGACGCTTAGTGCTGGTAAATTTAGACTATAAAGTGGAGAAAAGGCAGGTAGTATGTTCTATTTTTAGCACTTGCATGTTTTTGATCCTTGCCAGCTAATCTTCGTTTTTTGAACTCGAAATGCTAATTGTTGCAAAAAATCGAATTAATTTTACGTAGAAAAATAAAAATAACAACCTCTATATCTTTAACTCCGTCAGAAGCCATTGAAAAATTCATTTGCTTCTGATAGGCCATATCTAGGTACCTCAGAGACTGACTCAAGCTCGTCACGACCTTTCCTTCATACGATATCTTACTCGACCTTGCCAAAGGAAAGCCTATCCAATCAGACCAGTTTACAGGTCAGAGAAGAAATCAGACCAACACTATGATTGATGATTGCGATTGGACAAATCAGTTGCCAATCAAATGCAGGATGTGAAACGGCTACATTGTGATTGGTCACATTCGAATATTTCAGCCTTTTCAAGTATGAATGACTTTGAAAAACTAGTATTTTGAACACAAATAAATACTCTTGTCTCCATTTCACATTTCTTCTGATTTTTCATTAACTAGGATGGTTGTGGACCAGTTAACTAGTCAGCTTCACACTGAAGTTAGAAACTTATATTTATTTGACTGGGAACCGCATATTTGTAAATATTTATTTTTATATTGTTTTATGACTGGGGATGAATTGAAAATTTGGACCACCAGGTTTCCAGCCCGGTACTGTACCAATTAAACTACGAGGCTGGGCCGGAAACCCGGTGGTCGCTGATTCAAATCCTGTCATGATTCACATTTTTATTACCCCTTCAGTCATCACCCAGTATCAATACTAGTCTGCCAGACCACGGCTATTTCAGATTGTTAAAATGATAATTTATTTTTCGATCTATGAACTAACTAGTTAGCAATTCAGCTTTCGATAAGGCTCACAGAGCGGTTCTTTGCGAACTTTGCTGTCCAAAAAGATCTTTTTGAGTCTATACATCAAGAACTATTCACCTATTCGATTTCGAAACCAATACTTTATTTCAGTTAAAGGTCAAAAGTTCATTTGAGAAAATGACATACGTAACCAATATTAATTCTCGAATGAAGTATTATAAAGAATATTAACTACTCTTTAAAACTAACCAGTAATCTTGTTAGTCAAATCAAATCGTATTAAACACTAATTATTTGGAAATAAGCTCTTTAGTGAGTAGTGTAGCTAAGAAGAATGTAGTTGATGTAGTCAAATTCTCTAGACTACCTAAATCTGGTCAGTTGGTTTCGTTTGGGATTGATGAACTGTTTGTCAGTTAAAGACTGAGAAGAGCTGCTTAGTTTTTCAACTCCACAGAGATAGTGTGGATAATTGGTCTTCCAGTCATGGTCATCAATGCAGATGACATTAACACTGAAGTTAATGGTCAAAAAATTACTCATTTGAGAAAAAATATCGTTAAGAAATAGAATTTATGAAAAGTTTACAAATTTTTCTACCGATTGTGCAATTAGCTTATAATGATTTCGTAATTTGATTCTATTGAGAAAATTCACAAGTCTTTATTAGGCGAACACTAATTTCCCTTTGTTGGTTAGACCGAACTCATAAGCCAGTATTGGCACATCGAGTTGTGTAGGAATGACTCATTAATGAGTCCATTTTGAGCTTGATATTACTGGTGGATATCAGTTAGGAGTGGAATCAAGGGCGCACATTTCGCTCCATTTGAGACTCGTCAGCTGGATATACCTGCTCCCCCTCAGTGATTGATATTAATCCCATCAGGACTCAAACACCAGACCAGTCGTTCCAAACGCCAGAATGTTATTCACTAAATTCTGTAATACCCATTGCACAAGGAGGGGCTATCATAACTCAGCAGCTTAGTAAGCAATGTTCTAGTGTTTCAAGCGATTCGTTCAGGACTCGACTCCTAATGGGGACAACGTCGATCACTGATCCACCCAGTTAACTGATATGATTAATGCTATTAAGGCAAAAAACAAACAAACATAAGTGAACATCGATAAGTTGCCTAATTACTTTTTAACCTTAATTCGTATTTCACTGTGTATAGATAAGGTTAGTATGCACACTGAGAACTCTAGTGTATTACACAGGAATAGTGGTTGGATTGAAAATAAAAAGGTATTGAACACCTTAGAGAACACTGTTAGGCTAACAAAACAACAAGAGGTGAATAACTATTGAATCTATTGTATGGTAAGCAAAAATTGTAAACTAAGTTGTGTTTTGTTTTATTTTTACCTGGGATTTGTAACGGATAAGCATTGGTGATGTCTAATTCACAAAATAAATACATTTTAATAATGATATTATTGCGTTACTGGGTAAAAAAAAGCAAGAATAACAAAATTGAACAGGAACAGTGTTGATCCGGAAGATAAATATTGAAATGTTGAACATTGAACAAATGAAAAACCTTCAAGGTCAAACCTATAAATCAACAAATCATATATCATGACTATAATCATGCTCCTGGCCTGAAACCAGTGTGGAGATCTTCTGCACTGCACTCAGCATGTGGAACAACATCCGGATTTTCAACACCAATACCAGTCAAGTCAGTGCTTCTGTATGGCTCAGAGACTTGGCGCGTCACGAAAGGGATTTCCAATAAACTACAGACATTCATCAACAACTGCCCACGCTGGCTCATTACTGAAGATCAGATGGATTGCCAGAAAAAATAAGCAACAAGGAGCTATGGGAACGAACCAACCAACAACCTATCACTCAACAAATATGCAGTGGAAGGAAGTGGAGATGGATTGGGCATGCAGTGAGAAGGCCGACTGGGGATATCACGTGTCAGGCCAGTTGCTCGAGTGGTATCCTCATGGGAAGCGACAAGTTGGGTGTCTGAGGTGAGGGTGACATGGAGGAGATGGTGCGAGGAGGAAATGGGCGGTTGTGGGCTGTCGTGGAACCAGGTTGAAAAGATCTCAGAGAAGAGAGTGGAATGGAGACGTGCTACTGAAGCCCTATGTTCCACTAGGAACCCAAGAGACTAATAATAATCATGCTCAATTTGTAACTGACTTACAAATACACGGTCGATGTTGGTGTTTCTCATAATTAAAAAAATGTTTCAACATCTACATCTGACACCAAAAAGCTGTCGAATGAAAAAGGAAGTAATTGTACTATTTTTTTTGGATTGAGATTGGATGATGAATCACATTGAATATTGAACATTCCAACAATGGTTCTACCTTCAATTATCACAAATTTCGATAAATGGATAAATAGTTTGCTTATTTAGATCTCAGTCCCAGGAATGATGGAGTATTTAATGTTTCGATTAACTTGAGACGGAGTACAACACGTCCTAATTCTGAATAATAGTTTTTTTTTAAAACTTTCAAACTGTTCACTTGTTAAGGTTCGTGTTATTCAACTGGATGGGAATGCATACTCGAGAAATCGATCATTGGATACTAACATATATCTGATTGCATCATGATGCTGAGCTGCCTAGTCTAGGGGCCACAATGCAAACTGATTGATGGAATTCAGTTAGCACATAGGAATAAACAATATGAAGTTGGTTACCCTCCAATGACTAGTCAATATATCTAATTCAGTCCTGTAGGAGGTCAGCCTCGACCTGAATAGCTTAACGGTAACACCGATGATTACAACACTAGGTAACCCGGGTTTGAATCTCATACGGAGCATCAGTTCCGTCAGAGGTGCAGATACACCTTGCTGACAAGTGTCAACAAGCAGAAAACTTAGGTTCAGGTCTTCTGAGCGATTGTGTTCAATTGATATCGACTAAAGTGCACCGCAATGCTGAGCTGCATAGCCTAGTGACCACAATGCAAATTGATTGACAGAATTCAAGCAGAACATGGGACTAGACAACATGGAGTTGACTTAAAGGTGGTATTCATCGTGGAATGAAGGGCCACTGAGGATGTAGAAGCACTTGACAGTTGTTTTGTCCTAGTATAGGACTCTTCAGCAGTATGCACCTACAACCCTAATCTTGAATTGAACTCAGACTGTTCAGGTTTCACAGTGAATTTGTTAACCATTCAGCTATAGGGTCAGAACTTAATGAACCACAGTTCCTCTTGGACTGATTTCAGCCCGTGATAAATATTATTAACCCTAAAATAGATTGAATAGTTACCTGAGAGCTTGGCATTTGCTTGTAATCTGCTATGAAAAGTTGATTTCTTGATCCTGGCCCTGGTCCTGAAGTTCGATTCGACTGTTCCAATAAAGTAGATCTCTGAAGAAAGAAACAATTTTTAGAAAGGTTTCTAGAGGTCATCGTTAAATCATAAAGAAAAAAACAGTCAATTCAAAGAAAAAATTTCTTTTGTTTACTTTCTTTAATGTCATTTCCAAAGTTCAATCTTCTAGCAGATAAAATTCATTTCATAGTTATACGATAGATTCTCTGAAGTATGTCAGTAATGGATTCACTCCAAGATGGACAATGTAAGCCGTAAAGAAACAATTGATCAATACAGTTTGCTGTTAAAGATTCACTTGATCAGTTAATGAAGAACATTCTCCTCATCTTCATGTAGTCTATGGAGGTCTTTGACATGTGTTTCACGCTTGTTGGTATTCACCAGTAAAGTGTTTGTATAAACTGAAGGCAACTCAATTTCACTTAGATCTTTGAAATGGTATCAATCAGTTCTCTGGTGACAGACTTTATTATTATTATTATTATTAGTCCCTTGGGTTCCTAGTGGAACATAGGGCTTCAGTAGCACGTCTCCATTCCACTCTCTTCTCTGAGATCTTTTCAACCTGGTTCCACGACAGCCCACAACCGCCCATTTCCTCCTCGCACCATCTCCTCCATGTCACCCTCACCTCAGACACCCAACTTGTCGCTTCCCATGAGGATACCACTCGAGCAACTGGCCTGACACGTGATATCCCCAGTCGGCCTTCTCACTGCATGCCCAATCCATCTCCACTTCCTTCCACTGCATATTTGTTGAGTGATAGGTTCTTGATTGGTTCGTTCCCATAGCTCCTTGTTGCTTATTTTTTCTGGCAATCCATCTGATCTTCAGTAATGAGCCAGCGTGGGCAGTTGTTGATGAATGTCTGTAGTTTATTGGAAATCCCTTTCGTGACGCGCCAAGTCTCTGAGCCATACAGAAGCACTGACTTGACTGGTATTGGTGTTGAAAATCCGGATGTTGTTCCACATGCTGAGTGCAGTGCAGAAGATCTCCACCCTGGTTTCAGGCTAATGAAGGCCTGTCTTGCTTTTCCGATTCTGACTTTGACATCCTCTCTGTGCCGCCACCTGCAGTTGAAACAGTGCTTCCTAGATAGGTGAAGGAGGTTACTTCCTTTAAGTTTCTCCCGTTGACGGTGATTGGAGTTTGTTGTTGTTGTTGGAGTTGTTGGTGCGTTATCTTCATCACTTCTGTCTTCTCTATATTCACTTGAATTCCCGTCTTCGCAGCCCTTCCTCTTCTCTCAACTTGTTAGTTTTCGCCTGTAGGTCTTCAAGTTTGTGTGACATCAGGCACAAGTCATCGTTGACGAAATCCAAGTCTTCTAGGTTCTTTTCCGCAGTCCAGCGTATCCTTCTCTTCTCACTCCCCACTGTTTGTTGCATGATCCAGTCCAGTTGACCACAATCAGGAATATCATGGGGGATAGTAGGTAACCTTGTTTCACTCCTGTCTTCACTTCAAAAGCATCACTGAGCTTCCCATTGTGAATTACTTGTCTGGCATGTGGCATCTTCATATAGTTGTTGAATGAGGCGGATAAAGGTTTGCGGCACTCCGTAGTATTGAAGCAGTTTCCAATTTACCTCTTGGTTGACGCTGTCAAAGGCCTTCTCGAAGTCGATGAAGTTGAGGTAAGGTAGAGAGCTGATTGCCATTCTATGCTCTGTTCTTTGATGATGCGAAGCGTTGCAATTTGATCCGCACATGATTTGTACTTCCTGAATCCAGCCAGCCTGTTCTGGTCGTAGTTTTGAATCCAGTGCATCCTTAAGCCTCTCCAGGATAATGCGATAGACTTTACCACCTAGCTATTCAACTGATAACTGATACCCTATACACTAATAAGTAGTTGGATGATAAAAGAAAATGGTATAACTGAACATACTAGCCAGAGGTGAGTAATGTAAATGGTTCACGGTGGAGTTCATTCATCATAGGTGAATTTTGAATTTTTCAGCTAATGGAACCTTATTGTTTAAACCATAGATGCCAATTTACCAGCTACTTGTTCAAACGCTTACTGCCCATATTTTTTTACTATGATGCGGTTAACTACTCATGAGTAGAAATGATGAATCCCATGACAAATATTATGATATAGTCCACTGCTTTAGGATTGATTACTCAGTGCTTCTGGTTGACTTTAACGGACCATTTAAAAAAATTTGATAATACAACTAAAGGATAACAGTGTATGTAAGGACTCTTCAGTTTTGCCTTACAAAGGAATAAGTCATTCTTGATACATATCAAAACTGTTTACATCCCCATCCAGTTAGCTGATTGATTCATCATCTTGGTTTCACTAATATCTACTTGAATGAAATCGATAATTAGTCTACTTACAAATGCTTTGAGGGGAATTCACCTATTGTAGGATAGTCACCTTTACAAAGCATGGATAGTTTATAAAAATCTACAGGGGAATAAAACCACTACTATACACAGGACTAGGCCTAGGAAGTTGATATACATTGGTTTATTGTTTAAGGTATTCCACTTTCTGGTACATACTGCCAAGTCACAACCACCAAAGTTAGAATAGCCAGGTAGTATCTTACCTGTGTCTTCCTGCCTACTGCACGAAGGTATACATGATTGCTGAGTAGATTTGGATTTGATTTCGATGTTACTGGCTCTATCACACACAACTTTCAAGTAAGTAGATAGATCTAACCAGCTATCTGGAGTAAATCAGATTAGCGGAGCATAGTAATTTCACTAAATGTAGAATGATCCACCCGAATAAGATAGACAGTTTTAAAGGAAACTCTAGGCACTCAAAAACGCATCATCTGATAATAAGGCAACTGAAATAGGTTGACAGTGAAGGAGATTGATTATCGAACCTGTATTCATCGACTAAACACCTGACAAATGCAATAGAAATGATGTAATATCCTTACTGGGTACACGGAGTATGCTGTTGCTATTTAAGCGAAAGCATGATAACTGATGGAGTCAGGAAAACCAGCTAATGGAAGTTATGCAGTCATCTTGATATGGTTATGTTAGAAAGTGGCCCGAAATAGAAATCGGCATTCAAGGTCATTGGCCAGCGGGTAGAAATGTTTTCGTTCCAGATTTTGATTGGTCAAATTAATTTTATTGAACAATTTTGTCCTTCACTCTGATTGGTGATCTAGGGCTTCATTTTCTGAGTAGAAGCTGTATATAAATACCAAATAAAATCGTCTTCTTTAAGTCAGTCACAGGCCTGTCTTTTGTCTTCTGAGTTTCACACCTCAGTGAAGTATCAGGTGTGGAGGAGAACAGTCACAGTACTCATATCCACTTCAAGTATCTCATTGCGTTTTTACTCGTTTCGCTTATTTTTAGAACCCATGTCCTACTTCAACAGAGACACATCAGATTATGAGCAATAATTTACTCTCAAAGCGCTATCCATTAAACAAAACTGTTTTATTGGATATTATATCAAATCAACAAGTCTACGATGAAGTCACATTCTACCCTAATGTTGGAGTGTTCTATGTTTACTTCAGTGTAACTGACTGGGTAAATTCCACCTATGTGAGCGATAAAGAGAGAAAGACAACGGATAGGGCAGTGGTAATCTTCTGTAAAAACTTGTCAAACTACTACTTCTTGAATATTTTTGCTTCCATCACTAACTTGGCTGACCTTAAATGGTTGCCTTTTATGAATAATAGGGTCTGCTTCTACAGTCAGTATATGGATTGACCATCATAACTCAGTCGTTTCATGAATAACATCCTTGAGGTCACAGTAACGCTAGGAATAGACTACTATATAGTCCTAAATAAGAAAGAAGGCTCATCATAGACTTGCTTGCTACAGTCTACAACAAATATTATATAGTTGGGCAGTTCATCATATTTCTTTTTCTCCCCGTCAGTTGTTGGAATGTAGGAAACTTCGAGGTAATTAGATTCTTAGATCTTTTGGATACGGCAGAAATTACCAATGAGATCACAGTTACTACACAATACAATACACTCATAACAATGACGTGTGGTGATGAAAACAGCCAATTCATTCTTTTATACTCACCTGTACTGAATGAAGACTGGTTACTTGTCGTTCTGGTGAGTTGTCTGAATCTCTCTTGTTATTCAGCGTATTCCATTGTTGACTCACCTATAGAATTAATCAAAACGTAATTAATGATAATAATAATAATAATTTTTTCAAGGATATACTGTTTAGTCTCTGATTGGTACGACTATAGAAGCCTACCGTCTTTGGGTGACCTTCAGGTGACCTTGACAAGTGTGTGTTCCCCATCCAGTAGCTAGAAGGTGAGCACTTTTATTCTTGATCTTGATTCTGTAGACTACTGTGGGTTTCCAACCAGTTTCTGATGTTTTGATATGAAGCATATTTAGTACAGGTATTCACTCATGTGACGTAATAACAGTGAGCTTGACACCTACCTTCTGGCGTCTAGAAGTAATGTGGCTAACTTTCTGTTACCCTAGAAACACTAGCCATGCGATTTTTCAACCAATTAAAACTTATTATCTGTCAAGGTTGACCTCATTTCTATCTTTCCATTGATTGGCTGGTTGGTTCAAGGACACCAAGATCCCATAAATCCTACTTATCGATTGTTCTTAAGTATAAGGTTTACCCAAAAAACGTTCGAACGTCTTACAGGTTGTGAAATGTGTTACCTACACGCCCACACTGTTTCCCTTGATTTATGATAAGAAATAGAGTGAAGGGCGGATAATGAAACAGTCACATTGGTCGAATTCTTGTCAATACTCCACGAATTCAGTAACCTCTAATTCAAGCAATATTGACAACTTCTAGTTTGTACACTCAGAAATCACTTTAAGTTACATAGATGTATTCACCTATCTTTACAGGAATTAAAAAGCAAACTTTTTTACATTTTCCCACTTGTGATAGTGTTGCCAACATTTTTCATGAGTAGGATGAGGAGTGTGATCTCTTTGAACCAACGTACGATTTTCAGTCTTCATTTGCGAAGATAAACTGGAAAACTTGAAGGTGAGGCTATCTGATTGAAGCGATTAAAGGTAGGGACATGACTTGCATTCGCTAAACTGACTATATTAAAGACTTTTTGTTGAAGGTTGAATGTCTGACAGAAAAACTCAACACATTCGCATGGAATGCAAGTGAATAACCACGTACAAGTTTGTGCAAGGGACTGTGGGGTATACGCGCTGTTTGTGAGTTGATAACAAACTTTGATGGGCGGTGAACCTACTCGATGTGTGTCCAACTGACTTATAGTCAAGGATCTGAGCAAATTCCCTCCAATATCTTACTAGTACCCAGTTTATGCAACCGCCCACATAGTCAGAGTTTAGAAGTTGATTACCCAACGATGACTACATGACAAGCTGAATTCCATAGTTTACATGGTCACATGTTGATAAAGGTGTATGGTTTGATTATTGGTACACTACATGTGATGCTCGATATGAAAAGAGTTAAAAATGCCTACAGCTCAGAAAGAATATGATCAGTCTGATAGAACCACACTCCAAACAGTACCATGTGGGCAATGTGTGTGTGTGTACTTGTGTGTCAGGTGTAGAATACTGTCCAGAGAAGGTAAGTCATTTGATCAAGTTGTATATCATCACCGATTAAGATCGCTTGGGCATGTGCTGAGTATGTCCAGCCACCTTTTACATCAACCTACAATTTTACTCTAAGTGGGATTAGGTTAGAAGAAAGCCTATGGTGGCCAGACGAAGACGCGGTAACGGTTCATGAAGTATCTAATTACTGGTGTGAGTCAAGTAAGTAGATGTAAGGCGCCTGGGTGACGTCATTGAGAACTCAAGGTAGATTACGATAGTGAGGATATTGCATATAATGTTTCTCATTTTCAAACTCTTAAGTGTTTCCATTGACCTACTGCTGTGTATCATCTCTCCTCTTTTACACTTCTGACCACCTTAACCAGTTTTCATTTTCTATCCATTTCTTCTCCGTATACTGTTATGAAGTGTGAAAACTTCAGCTGAATCACAAATGTACGAGGTTGTAGGTTGACTTGTTCATTCAACTCACAAAGCCCTTCGACTGATTGTCTGAAGATAGTTATTATAAAGAGTTTGACCAGTGCTATTTCTAGGAAGCAAACTAAATGAAAATTAACATTTTAAGTCATCAACCACTAAGATAAAAGTTTTTACATTTCAGTTTTTGTCCCATCTTACTGTGCGGTCAGGAAAAACCCTATTGGACGGTTCATCCTACAGCTGACCAATCACGATAAGCGATTTAACTTATGACCTACTGTTTTGATATGTTCATGAAAACTGCATATAAATGATGCATTTTTGTGGGATAAACTTTCTTCCTCAACGTCATAGACTGGTCTTTGCCCTCTGATATTTTCGTGAGTACTTAAGGTACTGAGGGAGAATAATCTCTATTCGTATTCAGCTCAAGTGTCACATCGCGTTAATATTATTCGTGTATCTTCTATGATCATTCATTCAGTCACTTCAGCTATATATTTGCAACGTATCATATGGATTTCTTCATTGTTCGTGGCACCTCAAACAAAACCATAATAAAAATGGGGTTTCAAACAAGATGTCATTATTACATAAATCATAAACATTTACATTTTAACCTACCTTGATAACATGAAGTGGTTCATTGGTATGTGTTTGATTTGGTACAGGTGGTTGATAGTTCATTGGCGGTTTAATTTGTTCTTTAATAACTACATGGTCTTGTCCTGTATGAATTTGTTTTGGTGGTTGTGTTTTACGTCGTTTCAATTTCGGAAATTTTGGTGGCCAACTATAGACTTCACTGCATTTATAACGTTCAGCAATTGCTTTCGGTTTATATGGTTTCAGTGTCATATTACGATCATAACCATTGTATGGAAGTGTTGCTGATACTGTAGCTGATGATGATACTGGCCGATAGACATGAATTCTTTCACGAAGTCTAGTTGGATAGTCTGAATGCTGAACAATTTGGTTATGTAAGAGTTGATAGAAGTATAGAGACCCAGGTGGGAGAGGGGGAGAGAGGAGAGTACAAATAGTTAGTTATCATACCTGACTAACTACAATATTTGAGTAAATCATAAAAATATGAGTGCTTGTGTAGACTAAGTCAGTCAGCGCTGTTTCATACTTAGGATATATTTCAAGTGGAGGTACTTTACTTCATAACCTATCATGACGCTATAGTTCAGTAAGTAACCCAATGATGTCTTCAGAAGTGGGTTTGGATTGAAGCTTCAGCTGAGGAATGACGAAGTGGTAAAATAGGAACTACAGGTTCTTCTGAACACTACCACCGCCACGATGTTCTTTTCAAATACCCTCAAACAAAACAGAGTACTGTACTATAATGATAAGTCAGACTGATTTAGACACTTGATAGTTTCACAGTTTGCTCAAGGTCTAGATGGTCAGTAGTACATTCTAATGAACTCATATCATATAGTCAATGGTTATAGGTTATCTTACACTTATGTTATTTAGAAAGACTAGTAGTGCGATAACAAAGTGAAATAACTGAATATGCGGATGGTTACTGAATAATACTGATGAGAATAATAATAAGTGATATAGCGGTACATCTGCTAGTTGACTGGAGGCAATCGGGAAGAAGCTGTGCTTGACCTAGGCTTTGCACTTGTTGGCACTCGTCAGCGAGGTGTATTCGTAACCTCGACGGGAATGATACCTGCTGAGATATTCAAACTTGTATCACTAATCGCTACGATCAAAGATATTACCACTGAAATAGTCGAGCTATGATTGACCTTCTGTATGATTGAGTTAAGTGTATGGATTGGTTGCTGGTAAGTAGCCAATTTAAACTTATGCGGTCTTAAGTTAAACAACCCTGTTCAGTCCTACAGATAATTGACACAGTGCCTGAGTAGCACCTTGGTGACACGAGTTCCTATCTCTCAGAGGACATGGAGTTGCGTACACCTCTTGCTGACGAATGCCAAACAGTACAAAGCTTAGGTAGAGCAGATCTTTCTGACGATGATTGCCAATCAACTAACATTAACCAGAGTCCATCCTGATGCTGAGTAACCTAACTTGGTGACCACATTGAAAATGATTGCAAGAATTCGGACACCATTTAGGACCATAAAATATGCAGTTATTACCCTCCAGTGATCAATGAAAGCGGTGCCAATTAATATCATGGGATATTTGGATAGCGGCAAACTCTAGTGATAAAACCTCAAGGACGAACAACCAAGTTGCATGTGACATACACCAAGGTCATTCACTTACGTCCGTTTACCATATTGTTAATGCTGCACAAGCTGGCTATAAATTACAACGAATATTACCCTGTTGGTTATTTGCAGAAAGTTGAAATGATCACGATAAGTCTAAATTGTGAATATGGTGTTACAATAGACTGTGGACCAAACGTAAGTCGAACCGAGGGAAAAGAACTAAACAGGACTGCTCAAGTTAAACAAACACTTCTTGAAAAATCACAGATACTTATCACATACGATCGATATACGAAGAAAGAACATTTTCAGCGGATGAAGGATAAATCAGAAGAACCCATCCTACCAGCTACAAGAAAAATGGGTAGGAAGTCGTACATGCCGTTGTCTGAAATGAGTTCCCCCCGTCCAGTTACTGTCCACAAAAATCACTTCATTGAGGCCTCCTGATCCCCGAAGGGATATGGTACGGTCTCATATAGATGAGTTACGATGCAGCCAGTGGTGGGATTTCAAAGATAATAAACCTACTGGGAATCTGTACACTAGTGTCTACAGAAACACCACGTAGGATTCTCAGTAAAGCTGGCTGGGATTAGAGTGCCATTTAAACCTAAAAACTCACTTCGAAATAGGCTTTGTAGGTTAAAAGATCCTATCGACCCAATTAAGCAGAATAACTTAGTTTACCAAATCCCTTGCAACGATTGCGAGGTCAAATACACAGGTCAAAGTAGTCGACTAGGGTCAATTAGGCTATGGGAACACAAAAAGTTAGCTAGGTCAAAATTGATAGATCCTAATAAGGTAAGGAATTTAGAAAAAATGCTCAGCCATAGCTATGCATGTGATTACACACAACCACACATCAGAATGGATGGGACAGGGTGAAAATTCTTAAAACTAACATAAGAGGGTGGAGGGAGAGATTGATAACTGAATCTTTGTTTATCGAATCAACACCTAACACATGCAGCAACAAGAATGACTCAGCACATGTTCCGGATATATGGAAAATCTTACTGCCCATATCACAGAGACGAGAAAAATTAGGACTATGTAGAGGATATCTCAAAGTTGTGTAGTTATCTTGATATGTGACTATGGACAATAAATTATGTCTGAAACGTAATCCAGTGAACAATGCTGTTCCACACTGTGATAAACCCAACAAATCAATAAAAATGGAATTACATGGTGACTAACAGATTAGGCTATCTTTCTTATGTGACTCTGTTGAATCATCTGGCCTACAGAGTTTCTCTCTGAGGCAGTTTGTGTGTTTAACATGCCACCCCAGTCCTAGAATTCCTAAGAATTCTACGTGGAATTTCCGATGTGCCGTTTTCTATGGCGGCACTACAAAAGATTTGAATTCCCTCTTAGGCATGTTGCAGTCACCATTATCATTACCACTCTTTCTCTTATCAGTTATCATAAACCTTTGAATTAATTACGGAGGGTAGTGTCCCTGTGATGTATTCCATTCCCCTATTTGGACTTTCCGACTTACTAGTCAAGCCCCTAGACCAATTACTTGGACATTTTATCAAGCCTATCATGACAGATATGGAGTGAGACGATGTGAAATCCAAGTATCTATTCGAATGTCTGTTGGTTTCCTATAGACACTGGTATCTGCGTGTCCATCTTCTCTCCTCTTGATTGTTCAATTCAACATTGGGGTAATTCTCCTGCTTCGATTCCTAATTCATAGGTAAATTTGATTGTATTTACTGCCCAATGAATGTGTGTAAAAAAAACTCTGAATGTGTTCCGATTTCAGCACAGTGTAAATGTGTCATCTACATATCGCCACTATACTTTTAAAGAGGATTAGAATATCCTTGATACCTTCTTTCCCCAACTTTCAATAAATATATATATATATATATATATATATATATATATATATATATATATATGCTACAATATCGAATATCCCATTTCTACTCCTTCTGTTTGTTGACCTATTTTATCTTAAAATTTGGAGTCTGTGTAATTTAGACATAACTATGTCTTTGGCATGAACTCCTAAATGTAAACTCCAGTTTTGTTTTGGAGTTCATGGCCAGTAACGAGGCTTTTTGACTACCTTAAGTCGTATATTGATTGGTAAATTTCTGTGGAAGCTTGTCACATGAAAACGAGTCTTTTTGAAGGTCATCTGAGCAATCGATGGAATCACCAATCAGATTTCTAAACTGTTAGCAGTCGCCAGAGTGACCTTCAGAGTCGTACGTTTTATCCAATGACCTTGAGGTCACCCCGACATGTAATGAAATAACCAACCAGGTTTTTTTTATTTCGCTTTGAAGGGTAGTTTTATATAAAATAGAGAAATATAATTCATCACCTCAGTAATTGTCAGAATGGTCTTCAGAGTCACTCATGTTTTCTTCTTCCTTTACTTGTATAATGTATAGTCTACGTTTCAATTGAAAGGAATCACCACCTAGACATTGTCAGAGTATCGACCGTCGTTGCATTTTGAGATCTATTTATTTGAAGAGGATTTTGGTAGGTTTTGGTTAGGTGGCAAAACTAATCTTGAAGAGATTCTCATCCACTTAACCAACCATTGTTTCAGTTAGAAGAAATCAATAGACAGATTGATAAGAAGTTCAGAGGGTAACAAAATACCTTAAGCCATCCATTCATTTGAGTACGATCGTTGTTTGGTGTTCTCTCAGCTCAGATATTTTGTCATGAACGTTTCATCACTAGGCTAAGTGATATTTTTAGCACGAACTTCATAAAGAAGTGGAGAATTTTTGAATATTACACAAACGTATAGACAGAATTCTTATCTACCTTGGATATTGTCCAATTGTAAGTTGGGGAAGGAATTTTTTTAATATACTCTTACCTCTTTAACCTTACGTCCCCTTCAGTCATTAAATATTCTTTGTTGAAGTGAAGTCGTACTGGGCATCATTATTGCTATATCCGTTGATGACAATATGCCAAAGCTCAGAGAACACCAAACCACCATCATTTTCAACAACTTAAGTATATTGGAGTGTAATTTCACCAGAAGTCAGCTCTAGGGGAATAACCAGTGGAAATAACCGAGCTCCTTTGTAATCTGGTTATTAGATGTGGCACACAGTGAAAGGACAGTATCATTCACTGGATAACAACATTTCGGACACAATTTGTTCTCCATATTCATATCAGGTAACTCCACAACTGCGAGAAAGGGTTGATATAGTCCTAATCTTCCCTCCTTCTCTGTGATGACAAGTGTAGTAAGATTTTCTACATAACTGGAACAGGTGTACAATCACTTCTGTTACTACATGTACTCGGTGTGTGTTGATTCGATAAACAAGCATTCAGTCAGTTATCAACCCTCCCTCCAACTAACTACGTTACTTCTCAATACTGTCATTCTATCTCATCCTACTGTGTGATTGTGTGTCATCGTGTACAGAGCTACAGACCAGCTTCACGTTAAATGTATCAATCATAATTTGGCTAAGCTTTTGTCCGCAGATTGTCTAATTGACCCTGGTCGACTACTTTGGCCTGTGTATTTGACCTCGCAATCACTGTAAGGGATTTGGTAAACCAGATTATTTTGCCAAATTTTCATCAGTAGGATCTTTTAACCTACATAACTTATTTCTAAGCGAGTTTATTGATTTAAATACCAGCAACTTCAATCCCAGCCAGCCTTATTGAGAAGTCTTCATAATGCTTCTAAGGTGCCCTCCTTGTATGGTAACACAGCAGAGGCTTTGAATTCTC